GGCGGAGGGCAGGGGCCGCCCGGCCGGTGCCGCGTCCTTTGTTGCCGCCGGCGGTGACATCACCGTCTGGCGCGGGGACGCTCCGGGACGGGGACCGCGGGCCCTGCCCCGGCTCTGCCCGGGCCCGCTCGCACCGCTCCAGTATTTTTAGCAGCATCTGATCCCCACTAAGTAACTCCCCCAGCGCAGGGGATCCTGTTTCTCTCCGTCCTGTGGGGCACCGGCGGGGAAGTGTTTCCCATTGTTCGATGGGTTTTTTGTTTTTTTTTTTTTCTTTCTGTCTGTGAGGGAATCTGTTAATTTACATCTTGATGACGAATCAAGGGGGAAAGAAGGAAAAGGCCGCGTGTTTGCTGTGGTGGCTTTGCTGACAGCGGAGGATAACGCCGATGTGGAGGGGGATGGTTGGTGTGAATGCCTGCGCTTGGCTGCCTCTGGAAGGGATGGACATGGAAAGGGAACCTGAACTTGGGGTTGCACTTGTCTGCTCCCGGAGATCTCCACCCCCACCTACAGAAATGTGCAAAGCGGTCTACAGCACTGACAAATGAAAAGGAAAACTATCCAGCGGTAGAACTGCACATTCTATTCAAGTTTAGAAAGTATTTTCCTGTCTGGGATAATAGCATACATACCAGAGGCATCTACAGGAACGGCAGTAGAGACACATTCTGGGGGGTGACTTGAGAGCTGTATGTTTTCTAGGATGGGACTCATTCCCTAATTGCAGACCCTGATGTGTAATTAACAAAATTGCAGGAAGTGTTTAACCGGACAGGCGTGTAATCTGCAAATGCTTTAGCGAGTTCAAGAATTCCACCCTGGTAGGAGCCCCTGAGTGTTGAGGAGAAGCCCTAGACGTAGCAGCCCTTTGCTGGTGCCCTGAAGCTGCACGGATGATTCTTGGCAGTGTGTGCCTGATTGTTTTGTTTGGGTTCGAAAGCCGAGTGCCACAATAAATTCCATGAGGAATTTTTGTGTTCTGATTTCTGAGCTGTGTCTGCTGAAGTCCAGTAAATAGAAAGTGCTTGGTGGCGGATCAAGTTTTTTAAAGGTTATGTTGTTCTAAATTGAGCCTGAATGATCCATGAGGTTTAGAAGTGCGTTGTATTTTTGTCAAATCAGCATAAAAAGTTTGACTGTTTGTGCAATGTATTGCATTTATATCTGATTCTAGGAAGATTTGTGGAGGTTTTTTTTCTTGTTCTTCCCTTTGAAAGCAATCTGTTAGCTCTTGTAAGAGTCACCAATCAGGTATATGCCTTATGCAGGCCTTCTAGTGTGGATGTTGGCGTAGATAAGGACTCTTCCTCTGTCATCAGAGGTTTTTAAAATTTTTTTTCTTGATTTGTCTGCAAGTGTGGATGGTTGACTGAGAACCCGACAGACAGTAAAATAAGTGAACCCACAGGTGTCTATTATCGAGTAAGTGTATTCATAGCAAACCTCCCCTCAGCTGAAGAAGCTGTGCAGCATCAGGTGATGTGCCCACAGGCACTTGGCTGTGTCAAACATCACTGTCTGTCCTGAAAACTCCTCCACTGATCCTGGCACTTCCTAAAGCTTCACCTTAGGGTAGCCTTTAGTGTTTCATAGTCAAAATCAAAGCTACTCTTTCCACAGGTTTTGAACCACAATGGATTGTGACTTAAAAAAAAAGATAGGCCTTAGCTATAATATTATGCAGCGTTTTATGCACTTTAGAGGTTGAGGGGATTTATAATTTAAAATTAGTTAATGTTTACAGGATACACAAAACTCTTAAGTATGAACAATTGCTGATGCTCCAGTATTCCTTTTGTGCTAGAAGTCAGTCACCCATTTTAACTTTCAAGTGGCTGCCCAGAGTCAGTGTTACAAATGGGAAAGTTGTGCCCTTGTTCCTGGTAATTACTTCTTTCTGCATCTTAACCAGAGTTAGTATATAATGTGTAGACATTAGGAATGAAAGGAAGGAAGGGGATAAAACAAGCTTGAAAACTTGTGGCAACTAGCCTTGAGAAACTGGAAGGTGAACAGTTTTGAAGCCAGCTGCTGAAATGTCAGCTGCATATTTTAGAAGAGAGTAAAATCTGATGTGTCTGTTGCTCTTGGGTTTGCAGCAACAGTGTGTCAGCTTCCTGAACAGCTCTTGCAAGGCATGCAGACTAAGGGAAGGAGGTTTGCTGGGGAAGATAAACAGTTGTAGAAGATGACTTCTGTATTACTTTGCATTTAAAGTAATTTTTTTGTGTTCTCACATGATTGTGCCAGGGGTGTTCATGTGGGACTCTTGTTGTGCCTTAATATTTATTTACCTATTGAGTTCCAACTGCAAATGTACCCCCAGCAAAAATTGCAGTATAGCAGGTCAAATTCCTTTGATCACTGAGTGCTATTAAACTGGCTGTGCAAAATTCCTACTTCCAAAAGTCAGGCTGAGAATTGGATTGACAGTATGGACACCTAGAATCATGGGGAATAACTTCCATTGAGAGGCTCTGCAAATACCTGTCTCTTGGTTCCTGTGGCAGTACCTGTTACCAGCTGCTGCAGAAAGGCCTCAGAGAGGAAGCATCTTTTTAAACAGGTGTCTGAATTAATAAGAAAGTGGCCCATTAAAGCATCAGGTATTTTCCAGTGCATTGAGCTTAACCACTAACACGAGAAAAAATGAAAACACACCAAAACAAGAGTGTGTTTTCATAGCGGGGAGGAAGGAAGTGATTTCAAGAGTGGACCAACATTTTCATAGACAGATGCTAATTTTGAATGCCTCCATTTTAGAACCCAGAAATTACAACTGCTTTCCTAAGTGTTAGGAACATGCAGCTCCATTTTTAACCAGGGAATCTGTGATTAGGAAGGAGTTAGCTTTGGTTTTGTTTTTTTTCCTCAAGTCCTCAAAATTGAGTATGCTTTCAAATTTGTTTTCCTTTTTGGTGTATGACTTCTTCACCATCTGTTGGCAATATGCCGTCTGCTGTTTTTCCATACAAGTTCACTGGGTTTTTTTCAGTTTCTCTTATTCTACTAGTTCTCCTCAAATACTTTTTTTTTTTTGCAGAACAGATGTGTCCCTTTTCTTAATCCTTGTCTTATATTTCTGTTCTTAAATAGTTCCTTAATAGCTGTAGGAAATAATTTGCCATTTTATTCAGTTTTGGAATTTTTACCCAGTAAAGTACAAAATGCTTTGCACCTTTTCTCCTGAAGTTTCTACAAAGTAGTACTGTGGACAAAATACACTGTAGTCTGCAAAAAAAAAGATGTATGACACTTTCTAAATTACTTAGCTAAAAGCATGAGAAATAAGCACAAGATTTTCATGTTGATAGTAACCTCATACAAGCTCGTTTGATATGTTGATGTGGTAGATAGAATGATAAAATAGTTTACCTGCGGAGCTCCAGAGCACCCTCTGGTACTTTGTACCACCATGTGTTGTCTTACAGGCCAAGATAAAATGTTGCAGTGGATCTGGTAGACTTTTTTTAATTTTTTTTTATTTGGAGGGATTAATTTAAAACCTTTTGGCCTGGATACTCATTTGATTTGGCTGTAGGCACAAAATGAGACAAGAGATCACAAACAGGAGCTTAACCCAGTGCTGTGCTCCCATAATCCTCCAAAAGCTGTTGGGGACAGCAGGTTTTGAAAGTGTAATTTAGGATGTCTCATGGCTTCCCTTAAAGCTGAAGTTGCTGCAATAGCCTCCTCCTTGGGCCTCCTCTGAGCTGAGTGTCACCTGTACACAGTGTGCACGTCCTCATCCCACTGGCTTGTCGTTCTTCATTCCAGCTGTTCCCAGTTCAGGGAGGTGGCACATCAGCCTGTCCTGGCAGTGCCACAGGCCTGTGAGGAGCACAGCACACTGGGTGCAGCCCTGGAGATGCTGAAGAAGTGCCCAGAGAACAGTCAGAGAATCTTCTTGAAAGAGCCCACTGCATTTCTGTGTGAAGCTTGCCCTGTGGATGAGAGTGTTGGATATTTTTTGCTCAAGAGAGAAACCAAGCCTTTGTTACTCTCTCCTCGTGACTTAAGGGGTATGTTACATTGGTGTTCTGATGTTGTTTTTTCAAAGGCATGGTAATTAATATAATTAAAAATTGCTAGCCAAATGAATTCTGATCTAGGAGTTGCACCCATTTATAGAAAGAGCCGAACAAAAATTCCCTTAGGCCCCGATGGAAATGATTTAGCATCTGTGCTTGTATTGTACAAGAGACTGTGGTAGTGTAACAGGTTATGATCTACCATGGAGTGGTTGTGCAAAGCTGGAACTCTTGATCTATGTTGGAACAGCATAAAAGGGGAAAAGATGCAATGGGAAAATGTTACGTACAGAAAGCTATCTGTGGAAAAAAGGCAAGGCAGCTAGTAGGGTTACTTTCATGTAAGAGAAAGCAGTGTATTTAAAAGTTGCCTATGCATGTCTTGCCCTTTTTTCTGCTTGTCCTCCACATCTTGGTGATGATGTGTATGAATTACAATTGCTCTTGTGGATGTGAACTGAAATATCACTCCAGTCCACAATTCCTTAGTCTGCTGGAAACTTCAAAGGGCTTCAAACCCTTTGTTTTTGTTGCTGTGTTGTTGGTTTGTACCTTCTGACAGCAGTGCCCAAGGTGAAAATCGGCTACTATGAGGAGGGAAAGTGATGGAGGAGCTGAAACTGAGTTTGCTGCATGGATAAGAAATAGAGTAGCCAGCGATGTTTGGTGCTTCTCCTCAAGGATGAGATTGCTTGAGTGACCTTATGTAATTCATTCTCAGAAATGAAGAAATGTTTTAGTAGTTTTCTGGAATAACATTTTTTTCTGTGAAAGACCAAGCATTAACTAACCTTATGTAATTCATTCTCAGAAATGTTTTAGTAGTTTTCTGGAATAACATTTTTTCTGGAGAGACCAGGCATTAAGTGATAAAGTCACT